GTGCGTGTGTGTGTGTGTGTGTGTGTGTGTGTGTGTGTGTGTGTGTGTGTGTGTGTGTGTGTGTGTGTGTGTGTGTGTGTGTGTGTTATACACACACATGTATTATCACTTTATTAGTATTACTGAAACTGTACCTGTCCAAATTTTGATGAATGAATATAAATGAATAAAATCATAAAACCACAATTTCTTCTTTGTTATTAAAGTATAGAAATTGAATATCTAGCCCAGATTCTTAACCTTTATGACGTTTTCCCAAAAAACGTTGTCAACAAAACATTCACAATTAAACATAATCCCTGATATCATAGCAACGTCTGTTATTAACAATTAGAATGAAAGTAGGAAAACGCATCTAAGAAGACGCGGCGCTACCATACACCCGTGGTAACTTAGAACGGACGCGGGCTACCAACTAAGGTATAAAAATATTTAACCATGCATTTAGTCGAAGTGAGAGTGTCGTATTACCGCGACACCAGGCCAGGATAACAGCATAATTGTCACATATTTTACGAAAAGTGGTGAGACCGTTTCCTCCCTAAGTCCAAATAACCAGACAAGTGTTAATGCAATTTCCTGGCGTCAAGAAGTCATTCCACCTCATTTACCTACGCACATTTACGGATGTAGATTGATTTGTCAAAATATGTACTAATATTGGTATTGAATCAGTCCTAATTGGTTTAATCAAATGCATAATAACGGGTATGACTTTTTTTACATGCGTTATATACATTACAAAAAAATTACAACGAATAATTCGTAGGACGAAAGAAGAAAATAATTTAAAGTACTTTTGAGTAATAGGGGTACCTGTTGTAGCTTGTAAAAACTATACAAATATGTTAGCAGATAGGCCTACACTCACAGCAGTACATATAACATTGTTGCTGGTTGCATAAATATAGGTTGCCTCGCTGAACATGCATGTAGGCCGCCCGGTTACGATTTAAATCAGCGTTTCAAAACGCACGTTCTATCTAAAGCTGTCGTAATTTTCTCCTTTCGTTGCATTTCCCCATCTGCCAGATTCTCCCTTACAACTAGTTCAACTTGCTTCTAGATTTGACATTTGACGCGCGTCTGTAAACGGGCGTCATCTCTGAACTCGACATCCGCCTAATCCGCCCCCTTGATAATACCATACATCTCCATGAACCTAAAGTTCAAGAGCATCGGCACTATATATATTACGAAAAAATGTTCGAATAGCTAAATAAATAATAAACAACCGCGTGTCAGTGGTCTTTGAGATCTGAGACTACGTCTGTTTAATAATCGCCTGGTCAAGATATGCCAGTCAACCTTGCCATCACCGGTCGTACTTGGGTGTAGAGCCAAGCGTGAAAGAAGTTGATAGTGGCGCTGTTAGCGGGGGTAGTGCAGAGTGCACGTGAGCGTCGCTACGCGTGTTATCTGTGCCTACGTGTTGACTGTTTCTCACAGTCGACTAAAGTCGAACAGCGTGCTGTGCATGTGCACAGTAGTTGGACGTGCTCCTGATACGATAGATGCACGCACTATAGATGTATGCGTTGGAAATTCTATTTTTTTCGTCATGTCTCCGTCTTTGCGAGAGCAGCTAGCCGCCTTAACATCTTGAAACGCGGCAGGCAGTAGTTAGACGCCTCACAGACCAGCGCCCGCACACGCCAGATGTATTCCGACAAGTGAACGGAGAATAGAGCAACTTCTGTTAAGCATAGGTAAGCATCAGCATCTTCTCTATTTACTCGTCGCGTGCGTAAGGGCTTCGAACTTCCAACGACTATTTAGTGACATCGTGTACGTCTTCTTTTACCTAACAGCCTAGCAGCATTCACTGAGAGGATGGACCTTCAACTAGAAGATGCGCTGTGGGTCGTCATCCTCTCCTTCCTTATTGGCTTTATTCTTGCCTTCGCCATCGGCGCCAACGATGTCGCCAATTCGTTCGGAACTTCGGTGGGTTCGAAAGTGCTCACCTTACGACAGGCCTGCATACTCGGCAGTATTTTCGAGACGCTAGGAGCAGTGCTACTAGGTACGAACGTTGACGTATTCCCACCTACCCCGTTCTTCAGTCATAGGCCATCAGTCTATATAGTCTATATAATGAATTCAACAGGTTCACTACATTACCTCGGAACTTTAAACGTTGTCGATTTCCTATTCCCGTTTCCCAGCGAACATTCCCTCGCCCTGCGGATTCATCAACGTTGCGTAAAGTGTATTGCGTACACCGAGTTTCTACGAAGTACGTACGCAAAGCTCGTAGGTGCGATTCATCAACGCAGCGTATATATAGTCACTGTGCACAGTCAGCAAATGGCGGCGGTAGTGTGTGTGCATAGAGCATTTACACGGAATTGACAGGAAACTGTCGGCAATAATAGGTGAAAGAGAGTATAGAAACATTAAGAATTTTGTAGTACTAGTATTAGATTTCGTATTTATTTAGCATTATATTTTATTGAAACGTTTCAAGTGCCTGTGCTATAGAGTATCTGCGTGCGGTTTGGCTTGTGTTTGGTGAAGGAGGTGAAGAAGAGTAAGGTGTAATAGGAGTAAGGTATAATAGGTGAAGGAGAGTAGAGAAACATTAAGACTTTGGTAGGAAATAGATTTCGTATTTATTTAGCATTATATTTTATTGAAACGCTCCAAGTGCCTGTGTTCTTACCCGTGTGCACTGCACCGCACCTATATACGCGCATATATACCTGCTCCCACCTTTGTGGAACCTATACTATAGTTCACCGCAGTTCTGTCATATCACCTGTGTTAGCTCCTATACCTGTGTGTACGTAAGACGATCAACGACGTATCTCGCTCTCTGCCACTCCTCTTTACGCTCGTCGCCATTGCCATCGTCGCCGTCGCCGTCGTCATCCGCGGCAGGAGGCGGAGATCCGTCGCCGTCGACGTCTATGACGTAGTAGGACGGCGACGTCGCTGGCTTGCTCTCCTTCGCCTCGCCGTCGTTGGTGAGCTGGTGAGCATTCTGCAGGCCGCCTCGCTTCTCGACGTCGCCGATGACATTGTTGATGCTGTAAGAGGCAGCAGACGACTTCTTTAGCAGCGCCATCGTCGTCGTTTCTCAGACCCACCTACGTACGCGCGCGCGTGGTCAGCAGCGGAAGGCGGTAATCGACCAAGTGCACCTCTGCTCACGTAATCGCACCCTATATATATATATATATATCTACGTACGCGCGCGCGTGGTCAGCAGCGGAAGGCGGTAATCGACCAAGTGCACCTCTGCTCACGTAATCGCACCCTATATATATATATATATATATATCTTCCACACACGCTGATACACCGGTATATATATAATATAGTATAAGGACGGGAGGGTGGCCATGCTGTTT